AAAAAGAGGCTGTTTGTGGCTAGGGACACTGGAAAACTAGACAACAAAAAGTTAAGCAAGTTGACTTCTCACTCATTTATATATTTTGAAATTAGACAATGTACAAATACCATATTTAAAAAAAAAAAATAAGTAAAAATTAAACAGAGGTCTGGGTTCTGTCCACAGTCATGCAAAAAATAAATAAATAAATAAATATACACTAAGTAGAGTCTTTACACAAAAAAAGTTGCCTAAGAAGAAAAAAAGAAAAAGGTTGTCTTTGTTACTGTTGCCAACCAACCCACCCAGCTTCCCCAAACCCATTTTCTTCAAAGTTCTTTGTCTTGGTTACTTGCTCATTACTGGGACAAATAACCTAACACCCACAAGTTAAAGGAGGAAGCTTTGTTTCAGTTCACACCTTGTGGAGGTGTCTGCCCATGGTCGCTGTTGCTGAGGCAGAGGGGCATCACAGCGGAGAAACAGTCCACGGCACTGCAGGCAGGAAGCAGCCAGCCTCCCTTGGACTTTTCATTCCATCTCAGCCACAAACCTATTGGCTGGTGGCACACACACCCAGAATGGGGCTTCTGTCTCCAGTAACTCCCATATAGCACACCCAGAATTATGCTATTCTGATCAGCGGACTAATGTAGCACCACACACCCTTAATCCCATTCCCACACACCCACGATCCAGCCAGCTCTGACAAGCTGCACTTGGGAGCACATCTTGGTTACTTGTCTCTCTTTGTTGAGACGAACTACCCGGCACCCCAAATTAAGGAAGGAAGGCTTATTTAGCTCAGTTCGTGCGGCATGTGGAGGTTTTAGTCTGTAACCAGCTGGCTGATTTCGGCCTTGTGGAGGTTTCAGTCCATAATCAGCTGGCTCCAAGGCAGGGTGGCATGGCGAGGGGCAACACTTCAGGGCAGCAGAAGGCAGCAAAAGCAACAAGAGCAAAAGGGGGGGGCTGGTGAGATGGCTCAGTGGTCTAAAGCACCTACTTAGAACAAGCTAAACTAAACAAAAGCACAGGGATCGCGGTTCAATCCCCAACACCACATGCCAGCCAGCCCCGCCCCCTGGTGGGCTGAGCTGGCCACACACACACACACACACACAAAATAAATAAATTAATTTAAAAAAAAAAAAAGAGCAAAAGGGGGAGAGGAAGCAAGCTCGGCCCCTCCCCACACTGTATGCTGACTGTCCGCCACACCACGTCCTCCCTTCCTGCTCTCCAAGCACATGTTCACACAGTGACAACCCCGGCTCTGCTGAGTCACTTGGGTTCGCTTCTAAATGGCTGGTTCTCAGGCCGACACGATGAACCATTAATGACCGTGTCCAGATATAAGCCAGGCAGCTAGGGCAACATTTCTAATCAGAAACAGCCATTTCTACTGAGCTGCGAGCCTGGTATCCTTTCGTGTTCGTCTCGTTATTGGAGACTCTCAAATACCTAATTTTTTCTTGATTTCACAGTCAACATATAAAACCTGCTTTTACGCTCAGCTTCTCTTGAAAGCTCTTCCTTCCCAAAGATGGTGTTCAGTTCTCATACATGCTGAATATAAAGAGCAAATCTGACCTCAAAGAAAAATTAAGTACAGGAAGATGCAAAGAACAGTTCCTAGAAAATGACTTTGAGGAGCACCGAGCAGGAGACGAGGCAGCGCCCACTTGGCGTCTCCGGGACCATGACCACCTGGCCACCCAGGCCGCATCCAGGGACGCTGTGCTGTCACTGGGCCTGACGCACACCAAGGCCCGCAGCTAAGGCAGCACCGGCCACGCGCGCACCCTGGGCCTTGGGGACCCCACTCGCTTCATGCAGCACCGCATCCACGCAGGGGACCCGCTGGCCTGGCTGGTACTCCATTACTGGGTCACAAATGGAACAGATTAAAAGGGTTATAAACTTTTTACCAATGACTGCATATTTCTGAAGAAAACGTTGAGCATCCCAGTTGTATCAGAGAAGCCCTTATTGTTCCATGTACTGAACTCACCCCTTTCCAGAAAATGAAGCTGGGGAAGTGGATTTCCTCCCAGGGAGCAGCTGGTGGGAGGGGGGGTCAAGCTCCCTCCTCCCAGCCCCCTAGGACCTGGCCCCACGGCCCATGCAGCCCGAGGTGTCAGCCAGAGACTTCCTGGACAGGCGGGACCTGCAGATGAAGCTGTCCACGCAGGCGGCCCAGCGGCTAAAGCGGGAGAGCAAGGCTGAAGACCTCCCTTTACCTCAGCTTAGGCGGCCAGGCTTAAAGCGGACCTGCACTGGGAGATGGGCCGACCCTAGCGGATCCAAAACCCAAGACCCAGGCAAGCTTTGTGATTCCTGCAGTGCCTTAAGAGTCATGATGAAGCAGTGGCTGCTCCCTCCTGGCTTCCTCTGAGTGCAAGTCTTACTACGGCATATAGCAACAGCGCAAGCTAAAGCTCATCACTTGTGTAGGCGGCGGTTGGTCTCAGCCTTGCTTTAATACTCAGATTGAGTGAAAACCCTGGTGGATGCCTGAGGTGTGCTGAGTTGTGTTTCCAACAAATGCTATATAAGGGCCGGCCAAATAGCTCAGCGGATTAAAGTGCCTGCAAGCAGGCACAGCAGGAGCCGGGGGTTCCATCCCCAGGCCTGCCCTGCTGGCCCCGCTCCCGGGGTGCATTTGGACTGGCATTGTGGTGTGTGCCTGTAATCCCAGCTCTTGGGAGGCTGTTAACAGGCAGATCACTACGAGTCTGATCTAGTAGTGAGACCCTGAACACCCTGTAGACCCTTCCCTAAAATTAAAAAAAAAAAAATGCTATATTGAAATTATATTTCAATATGTATTACACATTCCACGTTCATGGAATGAGCCAAGGTTGTCTATTTTGTAAAATTTAACTATAAAAGTCTGAATGAGAAAATAAAGTGTTTTCCTAAACAAAAAATAATAACTTTGAAGGAAAAAGGCCTTATAAAGGCAACTTTCAATTTAAACTGACAGACATCTAAGTCATACAAGCAGAAGGGGAACGGAATCCACTGGTTCAGAGACCTGACAAGTTCAGAAGCTGGGGCTGGCTACAGGCACAGGCTGGCCTACAGCTGGGGTTCCTGCGGCATGCTCTGCTCCTGGTTGTGTGCAGCGGGTAGGACTCTCCCGTGACGATCAGGATGCCCACCGCAGCCTCCCAAAGCTCAGGACTCCAGCTTAGTAACACCAATGGGGAGACTGCTCATCTCTGAACAGCAACACGCAGTCCAGGGAAAACGCTGTCAGTCACCGCAGACCTGTCCTGCAGAGGAGCTCCAGCCCAGCTGAGTTCGAGTGATTTGCTCCTACACAGGAAAACGACGTGAGATATACATGCAAAGTCTCCCGAGGGCACTGCAGGAGCGCAGCTAGAAAAACAAGTCAGATGTCCTGGTGCCGGCCTATAATCCCAGCACTGAGGGAGCCTGAGACGGGATCCTAAATTCAAGTCCTACCTGGATAACTCCACAAGACCTTATGCAAAAAAAAAAAAAAAAGTGGGGATGGGGACACAGACATAGCTAAGGAATAGAGCATCCCTGGGTCAGCACCCAGGAGGGGATGGGCACTCTGTTGCTCTAGTAAGTCATGATTATGACCACGAGACCTTTATTCCTTGGCCCTGAAGACTGAACGCAGGGCTTTCACACTCAGTTACATCCACAGGGTCTAACCAAGCCACTAAGTTGCCCAGGCTGCCGCCACCTGCCTGTCTCCAAGCCCACCATGCTCCGCTCCTTGGGGTATTTTAACTGGCTTAAAACTATAAAACTTTGCTCCCTACATTGTTTAGCAGTAACAGGTTTTCAATTTTAAGGCAAAATGGCTGGGAAGTCCAAAAAGACATCTGTTGAGGAATGCTACCTCACAAAGACACTATCTGGTCTGTCTGTACTAGATGTACTTCTCAGTATCAGATCAGAAACACACTCCTAAGACGGGCCAAGAAAAACCTCCAGAAACACAATCTGTAAATCAGACTATAATCCTTTGGTCCCTCTGACACTTTCCACTTGGGAAAAAGTATTTTCAGGGTGTAGCCTGCCAAATTCTGTCTTTATTTTAAGCCAGGAACTTTTCAAACGACCATCTGAGACTCAATGAAGATATCTAAGTAGGAGGTCCATACTTGGCTCTAGAAATCAAGTAACTTCAGAGCTTGAGCCTATATTCTGCTTACACAGAAGTTCACCTGCATTCTAGAATCTTCCTGTTGAGCTGCGCAAGCTGGAGCAAGTGACGAGCTGATCCTTGAGGAAATAGTTCAGTGGTGCCCCCTACACTACAGGGCACTACATGAAAGCTTCTTAAGAAGCAGACCATGAGCTGGGTATTGTGGTATATAGCGTTTGCCTAGCATGCAGGAAATTCAATCCCCAGTGAGACCACACACACCAAAAAAAAAA